ATCTGATTGGTTATTAATATGAAAAAGGTCAATTTGGTGACCATTAGCTGCCACTAACCAATAACCAATACGGATCGGCCTTCTTCCCGATAGAATTTTTCAATTATGCATTTGTTTAAAAAATATTTTTATGTTCTAATTTCAAAATATTGACCTTAATTTCTTATGTTTTTAGTTCCAACATATAATGTGTTTTTAGATCTCAAATGTTACCTTTTCTGCAAAATACATAATTTTTTACCCATTTATTACCTCAACATTCAATTCAGTTTATTACTACTGGAGAATGGTGTTGTTTCATGTACAGATGTATGATGTTTTTAATAAAGATACTGAAACATATCTTAGAGAAATTCATTCCTTTAATTATCCCAATGCTCATCATATTATGCAGGAATTCGACCTTCTAAAATGAATGAATCAGCAATGTGGACAAATTAAGTCAAAAGTAACTAGGTAAAATCTTGTGAATACAATTAATATTTCAACATAGCTACAGTACAAGTGGAAACAATAAATCAACCAATTATACTGCAGGGGAATTTTTAATGCACCATTATTAAAAAACATAGAAAACATCTGCATTATTAACTTGTAAATTACATACTAATTAATCATTAAATTTAAGGTGCTAAACTAACACATGACCATAGTAACTGTAAAATGGTGATTTAGTTGTTTTTTTTTCAAATTATGATTTTGGCAGAGATGGAAAAAGTGTGCACGACTGGTAGACGGAGACATTGCACATGACCCCTGAGGATGTTTTAACTTAACTTTCTCGAGTCATAGATATTCATAGGCCTTAAGCATGTGAACAAATGTCACCTCGCAACTTTTTTAAGACACTATTTTTTTTGGCTCATTCCACAATTGGCCTATATTTTGGTTACGAGAAACTTGTCATTAACAACTCTCGTTAAAAAGGAATATTGTGCTATTAACATTTACACTTTGAACATCACCTACTCACTTCACTTACCAAGAGTTTCTTTATCTTAAATTATGTGGGTGGATGTACACTACTTGAATACAAGTCTGAGCCATAGAGTATTGTGACCATGGAATATTATACAGCTACTAATGTTAATTTAACCAAGTACATTATCATCTCCCAATTACGTATCCTTCCGAACAGGGTTCGTAAAGGAGAAAATTTGTAATTCAGAGAGTTCAAAATTTTAGCATCTCAGTGTGGTGAGAGTAGGCCTAGGCCTACAGTATGCAAAGTACACGGCTAGGCCCTAAGCCTTGCCATGGGAAAACAATTTTGCCACAAAATTTGACTTGGTTTTACTGTTTTCTGCAACAAAATAATACTTCACAAAGCCAAAATTATCTGTGCTCACTGTTAAGTATTTACTTGAAATAATTTCCGAGTGAAAACATGACCATATAATGCCCAAAACGAGCTTTATTATTCTTTTCATAAAGATTGCGAATCCATGCAAATAGCGCCCCCATAATCAAAAGGTGAGATTTACTGTACAGTATGCCTGAACATGCAGGCACAGCTCAAATTAATATATCTCGGCTGAAAACGATTCATATTTCTTGCTTGAAACTTATTTTTATATCATTAATACAGTAGGTTTGAATGCTTTCTCTCTTAGCTGATAAATTAAATTATTTCTGAAGGCTTTTTAAATACATTTGAAAGTGTTTTTGTAGTTAAAAACAATCATTCGTAATGACGTCATCGCTGCAAATTCGGTTCGTAAAATTGAGAGTTTGTAAATGAGAGGTTCATAATTAAGAGATGTTACTATACTTCCAAATATTGGATAGAAACCAAGAGCACTAATGGTGCTTTAAATTCAATATTGGTTGGCAAGATTGATACCCTAAAACAAGGTTGTAAGGCCAAATAAAAAAAAAATTGTTGTGTTGGCCATGCCAGAATGAACCAAATTTTACAAAATTCAGGATCGGCATTTTTTTTTTATTTATTTATTTTTTTAACTACAAAGAACAATATTTTTTTTATAAGCAAATAAGGCTGGAATCAGCCTTGGCCAGGCTAGGGGGCCAAGGCATAGCCTATTTTGCTAGATGGTACGCAATGCAAATCCAAAACTGTTGTATTATTTGTGCATTTTAAACTACTTTTTAGGCATGAACACATTTTTTATTGTTAAAAAAAAAGAAGTTTTCCTACCGACCTAACCATTTTTGGATTTTCCCAAAACATCGCCAACATAATTTTTTTTTTTTGGCCTAATTATTAAACACATTAGATTATCAGTAGGCCTACCTTAAACAGGCTTTGTCAACTGAAAACAGCTCTTTTCACCACATAGACAATCTTTATACAATTTTTAACAATTCTTAAAACACACTTACGAATTTACAGCAATTAAAAATATACTTTTCCCTAAACACTTGCTTGTAGTCTACTCCCACCACCTTAAGACACATTTTCACTACCTTTCACCTAAAACTCACCCAAATAAACAACACAGTTTTACACCCTGAACAACCCTAAACATACTACCTCTGGACAAACATCTTTACATGCTTTGTACAAGACGTCTAAACAATTATATTATCAGCAAAAAAAAATGAGCATTTTAAGATTTTATAAATTTTGTGTATGGCACTATACAACAAGACAATTTCCATTTCCATGAATGACATAGACAATGGCCATATTCAACTGGTCGTTCTTCGTTAAACCACGCCCACCTGCACAGTGCTAAAATCCTACTTAACAAAGACGACCAGTCGAATAGAAAACTGGTAAATACTCGACAAAACAAAATGGCTACATAGTTACTACGATACACGCTGCGTCTTCAATTTTTAGCAGTATGGGTTTTTTGTAAAAAGTTTTCAACAAGTTTTTAAATTATGTTAGCCTACAATTATTTTTTTACTTCATGTGGGCAAATATAATTTCTATTTTCTGAAATTTAATCCAAGTTATATTAATGCAAATATCCTAACTTAACGCTGATTAACGCACTTGTTTACTTTAATTTTCGTTGTCAACACAGTCTATTATACAAACCAGTTGAATGATAATAATACTCAACAAATAGTAGTCAACGAAATGAACCAGTCGAATAAGCCCATTGATGTTGATGACATAATGATACTAATGATATAACAGTGACCAAAAATGAAATGACAAAATGTATAGTAAAATGACAATGGTGACAAAAATGACGCCAAAAATTGGTAATGACAATGATCAGAAGCAAATGGCGTTGATGGTGATAGTGATTATGAAAATTACCAGCATTTAAACTGAGAAGTATCCTTATGAAATAATTAAATTTTATATTTAAAAAACTCAGAAAATATTGGCGGTATTAAATTTCTAATAGTACCCTAAGCATGAAAAGAAATACAATCACTAGATTTATTTGAAATTCAAGCAGGTAGAATGAGAGAAGGGGGTTGTTGAATTGAATATAATGAAATTATAGCAAACTACACTCAACAGTACAATACACTATGTAATCAGGCTATTGGTGTCTGAACAAATTATTCACAACTGATCAATATGCAAATTCAACAACACTAGCAATTGGCATAGTTTTTTGTAATCAACTTTAAAATTTCAGTACAAAACAATGAAATCTTGTTGGTAATGAAATTATCAAATAATAATTTTTATGTTTGACGCATAGTAATGATACTGAAAAAATAAATAAATGTAGAATAATAATAATGATAATAATCAACAATTATATAGCACCTAATGTTAATAACTTCTAGGTGCTTAACAACAACATAAAGCAGCGATGAAGGAGATGGTGACATTCAAGTGGTCTCACCCACCATGTCAAAGTAACCTTGCTGTCACAATGAGGCAATTTACACGCAGGTAATAAACAAAAGGCAGCATGCAGGGCTCCGTCACTTTCTACCGCAGGATAAGCCTGTGGCTCCACTACCGTGCGCTGCCGAGGCAACGACGTTACCTTCAGTAAGGAAAAGGTGAGACCACACCTGAAAACCACAATAAACATCCTGCAAAAATTAAACGGTCGAAAAAAGGTGAGTTTTTAAAAACGTTTTAAATTATTCAACCGAGTCAGCGTTTTTGATATGATCTGGAAGTTTGTTCCAAAGTGTAGATGCAACAAATGTAAATGATCTTCCACCATAAGTTTTAGTGGCGGTTTTAGGTGTCTGGAGAAGGTGTTTATCAGAAAAACGAAGGGAACGAGGTGGAATGTAATATTCAATGAAGTTGACCTCATTGAATGTAATATTCAATGAGGTCAGCCAAGTAATAACCAGTGTGCAAAACCATGCAGAGCCTTATAGGCCATGAGAAGAATCTTAATATTTTTTTTCCCCCTGTCTCCTTGCAATGCAAAACACCTGGACATTTGACAGAAATCAAACCATCCTCAATTACTTTCATTATCACTGAAAAATATCTCACCTTAAATACTGTGAATTTGAATGCCTATAACATCATTTTGTATTCAAGAATTAAAAACATCTCAAAAACAAAAATAAAAATAAATCTCAAAAATAAATTTGAACAAGGTCCCAAATATAAAAATTTAATCAACCACCACTAGTGAGCCCTACAGGGTTAAGTATGCAACAATCTTAACAAGCAGCTTATTACAGACAACTTGTCAATTTAAAGCTAAGTTTATGGTTGCACTTACAACTCAACTGACCTGACTAGCCCAATGTTCTATTTTGTTGCAATCCAAAAAAGCGATTAAAATGGTTATGTGACAGTAGTCCCGCCAGCATTATCATGTGCAATTATGGCAGCATTGCAGGGTAACTAGTTAATCTAGAGTCGAAAAGGGACGTAAGTGTTGGGAAATACCATAAGTGCTGGGAAATACCTACACGTGTGTTGTTGCGAGATGAAAGTTGATAGAGGCGCTACTGGTTAAGGTCAGGTGATGTCAGTTGATGAGTTGGGCCGCAAGGGTAACACAAGCTTAGCTTAACAAGTGGGTGTATAGACATCCATTCAATACATTCTGACACTCAAAATAGACCTGCAGGATGAAACTTACCTCTTTTCCTGTAGGTATATGCTTTGCTAATTTGACCTTCGCAAAGTTTCCCTTTCCTAATGTTTTGAGAAGCCGATATTTCCCAACGTGTGGTTGATCATCCGTTGACCGTGAACGAGATGATCGACTAGGTGCATTGCCGTCATGGGAATCACCTCCACCACCACTCTAAAAAAAAAAAACAAAGTACATTATTTCTTTGTTAAATCTAATGTAGCATATTTTCATTTTGAAAGACACGATCAAATTATTAATGATAGCAAATCCCAAATGAGTTGTTTTGTATTTGTTATTACTTAAATTTATACCGGTTTTTAGGTTACAAAGCATTTTGATTTCTCTGGTCATTGGGTCCATACGCCCAAGTGTTGCTGCCATATTAGCGCAGCAGTAAGGCCCTTTGATGCAAGAACCATGTGCGGCTGCTGACCTTGCAGTATAATAGAGATGTGTTGAGCTGTGGATGAACAAAATCTAGCTACTAGTGAAGTGGACACGATAAGAAGAAGCGCAGTAGTAGGCAATTCTACAATGTACCCATTGATACTCCTGCGTGGAGAGCAACACAGCGAAAGTGCCTTGCTCATAGACACAAGCGAAGCACACAGCAAGGGATTGGAATCAACCGCTTCCACATAATGATGACTTTCCATCAAGACATGAATGAAGGTTCCATGTTGGAATGAGGCAATCGCGTGTTTGTTTTTCTAAACATTCAAGGAACAAACTAATTGGCAAGACTTCTACTTCAAAATAAAAGTTAACGTAATCCATTGCCCATAATATTAACAGATACAGGATATCTCTCAAGGAGACCCCAAACAGTACAATATAAAAACATAACTGGCCTGGTATTAACAAACTATATTAATAGTATTCTATTTATACAGTTTGTTAATATTAGTACTAATAGTATTTTCTTGCAATGAAATGATAAATAACCATCAGGTTAGTCTAACCATGGTCTAACTGTTCTATGAATGTAATGAAATCTACAATTATAGTGTCTATTCACTATTGCCCAAACACCTTATCACCAAGTACAGTATACCTGGTAAAATATTGTGGCTAGTGTTGATGGTCTATATGCGTTTACCTTGTGTCTGACAACTGTTGTACTGTAGGTGAATGTTCCAGGAAGTGGAGAATGTGGCATATTGGGAACGTTTGCCCATTTGTGGATCCAATGACCAAGGTCAATAATGCTATCAACCACTTACTGTAACTACAAAACAAGTAAACTTACAATAGAGTGGACAAATTTATTTATGTCCTGTTCACTTACTACATGTTCTTAACATGCATTTGAAAGTAAATTAAATACAGTATAAGCAAATACCACTGGTTTACGCCTAAAGAGCAGAAAATACACAAATAATGCAACAATTTTGGAATCACATCGCATATACCATCCAGGAAAATAGGCTAGCATTAGCCCTTAGCTTCGCCAAGGCTATTCCAGCGTTACTTGCTCATAAAAAAATTTGTTTCATTGTCAAAAAAAAAATAATAATAATAATAAAATGCTGACCCTTAATTTCATGTAATTTGGGTCAGTCGGGCGTGGCCAACACAATAATTTTTTTTTTACCTTACACAAATAAGTAGTGATGTTGATAGCGCGTGACGGCTTGCAGACAGGAACAAGCTCATTGTAAATCGATTCATTTTTTTATTAAACAGATTTATTAAAACAAATAAGAAACCCTCATTGTTTTGTATTATAGTTAAATCTAAATAAATCTTAAAAATGTAAATTTCATTCTCTACAAATTTCCTCCGTAATTAGCAACATGCCTTTGAGGAATGAGTGAAGCTATGCATTTGTAATTTACATTGATGAATCTACTACGACATCCAACAAATCCGACTACTGAACGTCTACTGAAAAAGAGTCAGCCGTCGTATAAACTTGATTTAAGTTCCGTCTTCATTTCAGTTTGATTGCAATCGAATTTTAAAAGATTAGGCCAGAAGGCGATAATGCACTTTATAAACAATGGAAGGCGTAAATTTCACTTTCTAACATTAACGTTTAGGCCTACTGGTGTGTCTTTTTAATCAATAGATAATCTCTATAGCAATGATGTTGGGACTAAGCTAGCTGTACGACGGTTCATTCACAGGGTGTTGTGTGCTAGGCCTGTTAATTAACAGACAGCGATTATTATTGCGTTATTTTCATCTGGAAAAAGTTGATTTTTATTAAATTTATGCTCCAGACGGAATAAAATGTCCAGAATTCGGAATAGGGAGATCTGGTTTATACAGAAAGTATTTCACTACAAGAAGAATAAGAATGGTTTTGGGACTTGAGAAGAAATTTTGGTTTAGCATGAAATTCTGCTTTCTGGGCATTCAGAATTCGGAGATTCCACTGTATGTTCACTGTAGTTTCATTTTATTTATCATCCTAACATTAACACTGTTCAACATTTTATCAACAGTAAGTTGTGAATTTGAACATCAGTACATAGGCTAGGCTTTCCAGCTTGATTGGGTGACTTGAAAAAAGACATCATCACTGCTATAACAGGTCAGCATGGGTTGATTTCAGGGCTGTAGCTGAAACTAAAAACTGCCGACGCTATAACCGGCGTCAATTTTGTAGCGCCGGCGATTTAAAATTTTTTTTTGTCGACATAATTTTTTCCTAATTTTGAGGGCTGAAATGGAAACCTAAGCCAAACTTAATAGGCTCTTGTTCTAGGATTGTACTCACTAAGACATTAGATTATATTCCTGGCAACAATATTTCTATTAGATATATTTGATTAACCATAAAATACTTTCCCTCCCTCACAAATTTCTTCCACCTTCAAAACTATTCATGCATCGTGTAATGCAATTTCTTCTACATGGTTACCTTTCTTCTGAATAGACCTGACAATGTTTGTTTCCAAAGCAGTATCAATAAATGAAATTGGTTTTTCACACATATTGTACAATAAAGCGAAACACTGTGTCCGGGTTAGAGAGTGAGTGCTATCAGTAATGAGAAGCAAGAATGTGTACCGTGCAAAATAACAGCACATGATGGCATAAATCACAAGGTGGTTTATTCAATGCGATTACTCAACTAACAGTATGTCATTACATTAATTCCTTCATCTTTCACTGTATAGTGTTATATTTTTTTAATATTTTAATCAGGCTACTACAGTAGGTCACCCACTTCACATGCAAATAATCTGAATCAAATTTGTCACAGATGTAAAGTATTGCCCTCAGTAGCTTGCCTTTCAGACAACTGCCTTTCAATATTCCACTGTCGCGGGTTCAAATCACTCTCAATATATTACTCTAACACAAATTATTTTTATTAATTATTTCTTTAATGTTACAGTTGGTAAAATAATCACTTTTAAAGGAATGTGTCCTTAACCCTTCCACCTACAAGTTTCATAAAAAAAATTTTTTTTTTTTTTTTTTTTTGGTGACACAAATATAATTAATAATTTTTTCTATAAGGGGTCGTCCAAAAACTATTTCAACGTGAGTACCGCGTCATTAACTGTTTTATCACTGATTTTCACTAACGCAGCATATGGGCGTGCCCTAATATTCACCGTTCACGAGCTAATGAAATAACTAATGAATATGTATAATAGCTAACTCATTCTGTTTACCGCGACACTTGCGGTAAGTCATAAATATATTCATCCAAAGGGGTAAAAGTTTGTTGATGTTTACGAAAAATTCTGTATGAGACCAATTCTGTACGAACCTACGAAAGGTTGATGGAGCACGTCGGCAATTTTTGTATTAATTTTTACTTTCGCCAGTCAGTTACAGTCAAGTGTAAAAAAAAAAACGATCTAGGGCCTAGACCAGCAGCATGATAGTACTTTAATTCATAGGCCTAGTAGTAGTACTTTATGCCTATAGGATTTATATATTTTATTTAGGCCTTATTTATTATACAGTACTATATTATTTATATACAGTATGACTGGGAGACTTCTTTCTTGGACGCGTCTCCCGACTGAATTCGTGCCTCTGGCTTAGAAAGAAAATTGTAGTGAATGTAAAATGTGTTTTCTAAAATAATGAATGAAAATTAATCTTAAATCTTCACATTTTACCCAGATCTATCTATCTTAGTTACTGTTTGCTATTCCGATTAATTAAAACTATAAAGGGCCATGCATTATTTGATTTAAACTACTGTATTTCCGATATCGTACCTGTCATCCGCGCCCAGGTCTGCCTGTCGCACGTGGTCCGTTTACAAAAAATCGCACTCGACTAATCTATAAATACCAGGCATATTAACGACGCCAGGTGCACAGCCACGAAGAATACTGTATTTTAAGTGGAAGGTATGAGATGTCTGGACTCCAAGACTAGAAACAACTTGTTATGACTATGATGAGTACGAGTATATGCAGCGGCCAATAGCTCGACTTCAAATATAGGCCTAGGCATATTTTTATGTGCGGTGGTAATGCGGACGACATAGAAAGGATATGTAAATATTGGGTACGGTATTGAAGTTGCCATAGTAATAGTAAAAATTGTCCGCTTCGAAATAATGCAGATAAAGTGCATACCATACAAAAACCAAAACTTGCATAGAGCTGTACATTCAAATACTATCGCAGTATATAATACCGTAAATGCTCGAATAAGCACCGCACCAACCCCGATTTTTTTTTCCGCTAAGCATGCACTGAAGCTTATTCGAGTACTTATAATACTGTTGTTGTTAATGATGACAGTTTTACCATCTGATCTGGCGTATTCATTATAGTGGTGGTGTACAAAGGGGTTAATGGTGTGCGCACGTTTGATGATGACGCAGGTGTGGTAGTCATTAATTTCTACAGTATACTGTACTTTACGTGCAAAATGACGTCGAACTCTGACGTCTCTATTCGTGGCATTGATGCTGGTTTTGTTCTGAGCATTGCGTGTGATGATAAGGCGAAATACCGTACTACAAGATGGAGGCACTCAGTTTATAAAACTTTATTGGTCCATCACATGAAAAATGTCACGAAATGTACATTCACTTAAAAATTATTAATTTATAGGATGTGTAAAATATACTTTGTTTCACTGCTGTGTGGTGGTAAACCATGGATTGTATTTTAGTTTTTATGTAATTATTATTAGTTATCTTTTAAACAATTAACTGTATATATCTCCTTTGAACATAACGTTTTCCATGAAAACGGTCCCTGGTCTTCATACGTTGCTTGACAAGGAATGTGAGGAGATAGTGCCTAAAAATAGAACACCACTGCTAAAAATAGAACACCTTTGTGTTGTCACCGGCCAGGGATGTCGCTCACGTGATCAACCCCAATCAGTAGTTTTCGACTCTGTGTGCGTGTATTTTATATTATACCTCTAGTGTATTGCACTAAACTAGCTGCCAGTGGTCACCAGAACTTTAAGTTTCCCTCTGTAGCATCAGGGAAGAAGCCGGAATTAACGATCTTAAAATAACTACCGTATGTTTGTTCAAGTTTCACTACAGTTCATGGAAATGATTTTCATTTTGTTGGCCCCCTTTATGCATTGGCGTATGGTTTGAAACTAGGAAAAAAAAGTCTTGCCAGTCAACGTGTTAAAACCATGGTGCGAGTCGTCCAGTTGTACTTTCTATGGAACTTTTTAAACATACAGTATATTATAGAGGGTGGGTAGAGGGTCGGCTGATAGTCACTGAAACGGCACTTATACTGACAAAATATATTTTTGTCCCTGTTGCAAATTAATAATCATTACAACCAATTCATTACGTCCCTGAACTGTTCATATTTCTCTATTAATTTCAACCATATTGATTAAATGAACGTAAATCACTATGCTTCACATTGGCTACAACCACATACATTTCCTTAGTTGATGCTTATTGTCAAAAACATGTTTACACCGTATTTTATTCTAATTTTATTCAATGACAAACTCTAACATATTTGTAAGAGAATAACCTGCAACAATAAAACTCATCTGGCGATGGGACAATTTCATAAGCTTCCAAGTTATTTTACAGTAAGTAAACAAACCTACTGTACAGATACAGTAACTGATAAAATGTCTTTGGTTTATTCAAATAAATTGTTAAGGTATATATTATGAAAAGAAATAAATGTATCCCCTCTCCAGATCTCAGGCTGTATTACAAACCAGTTATAATTATTTCAGGGAGGTGCTGTGCTCGTTCTAAGGTGTCAAACTTAGCGAGCCAGGCTGACACTCATGACAAATGCCTAGGCTTTGCAGCATCAAAAGATCAATTTCCAGTGTTTACTAAACCTTTACATAGTAAAACTACCAACTGTATCAAAACTTGTACCAAGACAATGATTTTCAATGAATAATAATTACGTAAATAACTCCGGTTAAAATATTCGTGCAAGTCGTGCAACTGTTTACTAGGCCTGGTTAATTATTTGAGTAAGCCATGCGCATGTGCAAAGAAAAGATGGTCCTTGGGTCCTCCATGCGTTGCACATGGATTATGATGCAATTGCGCTGACCTAGATGTCGCAGTGCATCAGAGGTTGGGTGTACTACTACCTCGCACGGAGTGTAAAAAACCCTGTCTCTAATGCACTACAACCTGGAGGTTGTAGTGCGTCGTGGCCGTGGCCTAATAATTAAAAAATTGTTAGGCCACGGGAATGAAAGTTGTAGGTTTGCGTCCACCGCCCACATGCCTAAAAAGCTACCGCATGAAAATTTTCGTCGTGAGGGCACAGAGGCTAAGGCTGCAAAAGGGCAGGCAAGTAGTGGCCTTCGTCATGCTTCATTTTCAGGGGCACCAAGGCCAACTGGGAGGGCACTGTCGGCAATGGCCCCAGTGGCCGCCGTAAAATTCGAGGACGGAATATGGGAATATCATATTTCATAAAAATTTGAATCCATAATTTGAAAAAAAAGTTGTTTTTTGCGGACAGTTTATGTTCGAGGGTCAGTGCTTCACACTGTTTACATCGTAAAACGATATAATTTTACCTGCGACATAGAAATGGATAATTAAAAAATTGTTAGGCCACGGGAATGAAAGTTGTAGGTTTGCGTCCACCGCCCGCATGCCTAAAAAGCTACCACACGAAAATTTTCATTATTTTGAAGAGTTCATTATTTTGAAAGAAATATACTTCGTTTTAAAAAAACGGACTTTCTAAGCTGTAAAGAGACAGAAAAACGATCTGTTCATCACTGATCACTCGTCGCAAACACCGAGCAAAGGCAGGCCTGGCCACATCGCACCATGATCGCCGATCACTGCTGAGGTCATTTACGGGTCAAATCGATCTTTCTGACCAATAAGAAATTGGCCAGTAGAGATGGCCACACTCGTTTCTTGGGAATAAATGTAAAATTACCAATGCCGCGGCTTGTGGACAGCATTTATAAAAAAAAAACAACTACAACTTCATTCTCGTGGCCTTATTAAATCTGGGGGTCGTGAAATGGGGGGATTGGGAAAGGGGGGTCGAAAACTGAAGTAGTCGAAAACTAGCGAGGGCCTAGGTCGAAAATTAGCGACTTACCCTAGGCCTACAGTAGGCCTAGATGAGGCCCTAGGCCACGGTAGAAATAGTCTAGGCTGCCCTGGGCCTATTTCTGTATCTGCATCTCTTACTACACAGAACCTCACATCTGAGTATTTATCAGTGCAGGCAAGCTTTTTCGAGACATCATGGACCATCCATAAATTTCTGCAAGTGTGATTATTTAGGTTAGCTAGGCTAGGCCTAGCTAAATTGTAGGCAAGATTATCTCTAGCCTGTCTTCCTGGGTAGGGTAGACAGTCAGGCCGGCTAGCCTTTCCTGGGCCCTTAGACATAGGCGGCCTACGGTACGACGGCCAGGCCCAGCCTACTGCTGTAGCCTGTGAATATGTGATGAGATAGGAACAAGGCAACATCCTCATTCATTCATAATTTTTATCAATGTTTTTTTAATCTAAAATGGGCATAAACCTTACCCTTGAGCTGGTGGTACGATGTGACCGCCCTTCGACTACAGTTGTCAATGCTGGAGTCCTCGACGACATTTTGTGGGAATTGCCGAGGAAATTGTTCTTTCTGATCAACGTAAAAATAATTATAAATCTCTATAAGCGGGTCCCCCAAATTTCCAAAATCAACGGTCTAAAACCAAGATAACAGATCTGGTATGCAGTTACAATTAATTCAAAATTAATTGTGTAAAGTATTTTCGGAAAACATCTTCCTTATGTTTCAAATTAAACTCCAAATAACTTAATTTGGATGATTTTGTAAACTCATTTGGGCCAACGCCTGGATGAACGATGCGTAGCCTATGAATGTTTTTTTGTGATCGACCACACAGGCAGGAACAAACCAGCTGACCATCTATGATCCCAGGTTTTGAACCCTTAGATTATCAACGATTTCAAATAATTCCGCAAAAGTAAGCCTCCGTCAATAGACTTCAAAAACACTCGTATTTCGTAGATTTTCCTCAGCATATCATCTTCATTTTCATCAATATTCCAATGATATAAGTTCATACAGTCCTAGTTCATATCCAAGATGGCCGACAAACGGATATCCCAGTATTCCATTGGTTGACGGCAAACGTCGGGTCTTCCTAGCGCTGATCAATAGGCAGTCACTATTGGTCTATTCCCATATGACGTTACCTCTGTTCCCATAAGCAATGTTCAGTGTGCAGGTTTGCCGAAGGAACAGACTTATTTCATTTAATATTTGCAAAAAAATTGATTTGATTTCAACTACTAAATATACTTATATTTATCTAAAGTTTCAGCTCAGAAGTCCCAGGCGGAGAAATGAAAAATATCAGTGTGCTGTATTGCAGAGGTCGCTATTTTGTTTTTCTCTGAACTGGGCGTTCACAATACTGTTGTCCTGGTTGGTGAGTATCAATATTCATACATTTCCCGACTGGTGCATCCAACATACAAAAAGAAAATGTTAACTAAATCAAATACAGTAATTAGATTTGAATAATATGAGAGTGAACTTAATTTACAAAAGAACTAAATTAAAAAAATATTCTTAACTGATATTTCATAAGGTAACAACAAGGATCCAGTCACGCCCCTTGCGATTATCTACTGAAACTTATAAGTAATTACTATCGGAAACTTTCCGATATAATCAAAAAAATTATAGGCCTATATGTAATGTGATACAACAAAAGTATACATAAATACGGTACAACTGAGATAATTAAGTTAGGGGGCGATTAAACATTACGGTACCATTTCAATTAACATGAGATATTAGGGTACATTTACAATGGTCTCTTTAATGGTATTGCGTAGTGTATAATTTGGACCAAAGTCGCAATCTTTTGTCAAATATTGTAAACAATTTGACCTGAAATGATGTTATCATAAATTATCTAATATCAAGTGTCTTTTATAATCAATGGAACCATAGGCCTAAAATTAGTCCAATGTATTTGTTTCATTATAGTATTATCATCGATTTTCGGAACTTCAAATGATTCAAAACTAGGCCTTATTTTATCGAGTATGTTTCAATCAAATAAAAAGTGGTCTGCTGTTTTGTTTTTGTTTTTTGTTTTTTGGGGGTTTTTTTTGTTTTTGTTTTTGTTTTTGTTTTTTTTTTCTTTTTTCTTTACACAATTTAGAAAATTCTTTGTTGTTAGCTGACTAAGACTCTTTTCTGGCTTCCGGAACTACATCCCCTGTTTCACTCCTTAGTCAAGGAAAGAAATCTGTTTCAATTTCACCAAAAATAACTTAGCCTTTAACATTAGTAGTGCTTCTTAATTTCCCTAATACCAATTCTGGAAAGCAGCGTATAAACCATCTCTACAAACGGAGTCAAACACATTTTTGAAGTCCAAAAATGCAAGTTTTCTTTATAACTTCTGCTTTAATTTCTAGCGGCCTTTGACCGTATATGCTTTTGAATGGTCTTCGCAGCGTCTGTTTTTCCTGAAGTCGCTTGTCCGTTAGAGAGGTGGTCCTAACTTTAGTTAATGCAAGAATAAAGTGCTATCCTCTAATTGTTTATGTCTCTCGCGAGTTTCCTTTTTTAAATATTGAAATTATAATCCCTTCATTCTCATCTGAAATAGGTTGAAGTATAACCTTTTGAACAGTTTGGGTAGGATCATTATAGCCTCCAAATGTTAACTCATTTCATGTACTAAAGCTTCGCCGCCTGGACCTGCCTGGACCACCTTCTAAACATTTTAAGCGACGCTCGGCCGCGCCCACCACTTGCTCTTTTCGGAGAAATCTGCCACCTCGTCGGGCATTGTGAATGAAGGTTGTTATTTGTTCAAAAAGGCAAGTTGTCTTATAGTATTTTGGAATCATTTTACGAAAATATAAGGTGCATGTTTTAAGGTAAATCTTTTGATATGTGTCCCATTCGACGGATATGCTGTTTGCTTCAGTGTAGGGTAGTAAAGTTGAGCAAGAAGCATCATTAGGCCTATTGGTAGTTATTTATTTATGTATTTATTTATTTATTTATTTATTTATTTATTTATTTATTTATTTATTTATTTATTTATTTATTTATTTATTTATTTATTTATTTATTTATTTATTTATTTATTTATATAT